AGGGCCGGCAGGGGGCGCGCGAGGGCACGGCCTGTGAGGCGCCGGCCTCAGCGCCCCAACTCACACCCTCCGGGTTTTCTTTTCTTTTTTGTCTTTTCTCCCTGGACCTGAAAGGAAAAAACCCACAGTTCCTCCTGCTGGGACACTCCTCCAAGCTGGGAGATGATACCCCAGAGCAGCGGGCAGTTATGGTGGGTAAAATCCCCTTAACCTCCCCCATCCTTCAGGAACAAGAGGCCAGGAAGAAAATCTCCGGGCAAGCCTGCTTTGAGAAGCAAAGCAAAAATCTGGCCTGAAACAGCAAACTCTGGAGTAATTTAAATTTTAAAAGCTTTGTATTGTACCAATTAAAAGCATTGCAAGTACCAATGCCAGCAGCCTCAAGTCACCAAACACTGGCTCTGGGGAGCACCTGGAATGGGTCAAACCCTGGGAACATCTTTGTGTTGGGCCTCCTAAATGAGCCTAAATGGTTCATCTGCATGGCCAAAGACAGAACAAAACCCACTCTGCCCAATGTAATGGTGTCAGAAGCATATCTGTGCCTTCTTTTGCAAATATTGGCCATCCTTGGGGATTTTGGAAAGAGCCATTGCCTTCTGAATATGCTCACTGCTGCCCTGAGCACTCAAAAAAGAGCAAAGGAAGAGGAATATTTTCAAAAGAATTTTCTTGAAGGATTTTCTTCATGAAGAAATCGTGAATGGATGTCAGTGTCTCACTGTGCCTTCCAGCTGATTTTGGATGAAATCCCTGCCCTGTCAAGCACAGAGGCAGCAGCTGGGTAGAGCTGTGTTTCAGATTGTGGGTTACTTTGGCTCTAAAGCACCTTCCAGTATTTCTGATGATGCCTCAGTTCTTTGGCTTTAGTTAGATCCCAACAGTGCAGAAGCAATTTTGGGGGAATGGTTCCCCCTTTCCATCAACCTCTCCCTGCAACAGCTTCATTCCCCACTTCCCACAGTGGCAAGAACACTGTGCATGACTGAGCTCATCACCTCTGTGTCCTGTCTCTTGAGGCTTCCTTTGTGTTTTCATACAAAGCCATAGTGGTTTTGCTTTTTGGGGGCAAATCCAAGAGAAAGACTTGACAATGCCTAGAGGAACTGCAGAACACCGGTGAGTTGTGGGGTATGGAGGGCCAGGTGTGTCTTCTGGAAACAACTGACATCCCACCAAAGGCTACAGAGGTCCACAACCACCACCCCCAAGTCCTCTTGTGCGTGCCATGGTACAGCTATTAATGATGGAAATGAATAAAACCAGGGCAGGAATCCCCAGTTCCCAGAGGAGCATAAATCAACACACGTGAAGATCTGGTGTTGCTGTAATTAGCACCACACAAAGCCCATGCAGTAATTAACTTTCTCCCTTCCAAGTTAAGATTTAATAGCATGCAGTAAAATCAGACCCAAGGCGATGAAACAAGCAGAGAAAAACCCTGTCAAATTAGGCACCTGTGACTTGATAAGGAATTAATTATAGCCTGGTCTAATATTACTACTACTACTAATAATAATAAATTGCTGAGTGCTCCAAGTGAGGAAAGACATTGAGAAAAATGTCCCATATTGAATCCAAGGAGCAGCTTTCAGCCATGCTGGGATGTAGGTGACCTACTGCACTGGACAGAGCTGGGAGAAGAAAATCTGGGACAAAAAAAATCCTGGGCTGCTAGGGAGCTGCCCCAAACCTCCCAACCTCTGTAACACCAGCAAGGAACAGCTCTTTCCATGAGGAACTGCCAGCAGCCTTGAGCATCTCCCAGAGCAACTCCCAGTGTGTGGGGATGAGGACAGAGGGACACCAGAGATGGGAGGCAAGGCTGTACCCTGCAAAAACTCCAGCAATGGCGAAACACAGTGACAATGCTGGTCCCCGAGGGTTTCGATTTTGCAGATGCCCTCACAGTTCTCCACCAAGAAGCACCAACTCCATCCATATCAGGCCCAGACCCCAGGGTCAGAATTCAGCTCCAAGTGGTCCCCAACCCTCCCATGTTGCCTGTGGAGGTAGCAAGGCCATTGTGTACATGCAATGCCTGGAGCAGCATATAAGATCACCTTGTCATGGCAGGAAAGTGAGCAAGTCATGGGAGGATCCAACCAGATCTAGTGTTACATGCCAGGATCCAAACTGGACATCCTCTCTGTCAATAAATTCCAACTTTGGCTCTTCACAGAAGAGCAGGCAAGTTCCTGAAGAAGCCCTGTGTGGCTGGGCAGAGGGAGGATATCTCCTTGGCAGCTCTGGTCTTTACTTTTCCCTAGTTTTCCTAGGTGGAAAAAAATCTGGAGGTGTCATACCAGCTCCACGTGCCACTAAGTCTCCTGGCAAAGCTAAAGGTATTTTTGCCATGCAGAAAGAACACAGGGCCTGTTTTGGTGATACATGTGAGATCAAAGTTGATTTATTTTACTCTCCCCACTGCTCTGGCATATCCAAGATCCAAGGGGTAATGCATGAGGATGTGAAACACACATCATCTGGAGAGCACCTGCATGGCACTGTTGAGGATGTTCTTTCCAGAGAAGAGAGCTTCAGGTCACCCCATGTTCCCAGCTCAGGGACCATGACCAGCTAGGACAGAGACCAGAACATTCATCATAGCAGACCCTTTGCACAGGCTTTTGACCACTCTTCCCAGGCCACAGAGCTCTCTAAACACGTGCATTTTAATAAGGGGAAAAATCCAACCCTGAGATTATTACCTGACTCAAGCACTCACAGTGAGGTACACCAGAGCCAGGCAGATAGGAGATGTTATTTTACAGCATTATCACATCTGCCCCAAGAATTTCTGCTTTTTCCTCCAAGTGCTCTTGGAACTCACACCTTCTGGTATCACCTGCCTCTTGCTACAGCTTGGCATAGATCAATGAAGTAAATTATTGAATTACTAGAAAATCCAGTAAGACTGAATGCAGAATTAGTCTCCTTAAAGCACAGAGCAATCAGCATTTTTGTTTCTTGGTCTCTTTCGTTGCCCTGCCTTTGGCAGTGTACAGGCACTGTGTCCCCTCACTCAGGGACTCTGCTCAGGGGGTCCTGTGTGGTCACTTGTGTGACTTGGTCAGGCCCTGGAAGTTGGGCTCCGTGCACGGGGGCAGTGCTGCCTGCCGGCTCAGCAGCTTCTCCAGGACAGTTATTTCAGCATCTCGTCTCTCTATGTCCTCAAACGGAGTCCAGGACATGTCATGCTGGAGCTTATAGGCACCAAGAAATTCATGGGGGGTGGTACCCCATTCCTGGTGGAGAAAAGAGATTCCATCAGTGCTCAGTTTCCCTTGGAACTAGGCTGTGCTGTCCCTCAGCCCTGCTACCTTCAAAGCAGCCCCAGCTACATGACCATCCCATTTCCTAACCTAAAAATAGGCTCAGCTACCCTGAGTTTAAGATCAGGTCAAGCTCCAGCACTGCTGACACAGGAAGGTTTATGGACACAAAATCTCCCTGACCTGGCCCAGAGCTTTGCCCTGAAGCCTCCACCCTGCATGTAAGAAAATGGGTGGTTTGGATGGAGAAGGAGGAGACCTCCAAGACCATCTCTTCAGCTGCAGCTGGGCTGAAAGAGCCCGTCCTGCCAGGCAGCCACACCAGCCAGGGAAGGCTCAGGGCACGTTGGCTGTTCTTCCAGACAGAGAACCACAGGTATCAAAAGACAAAATTCAGGTCCATGCCCCAAAGGGCTTCTTGCCATTCTCCACCAAGATCCAGGGAAGCCCATAAGATGGCTCTGGCCCCAGCAGGCTAACCCAGAGCCCCATCAAGCTGATGCTTTTGCCTGAGCTCCCTATGTTCCCAAGCACCAGAAACATGACTTTTTTCTCCTCCCTTCTTCTTCATGGGCTGTGACCACCCACCTTAGGAGACAGGATAGAGAAATACCGCTGCCCACTCTCCCGCCTGTACATGTAGTAAATATTTCCTGGCTTCTTCACAAGGTTGCAGGCCACATGGTTCAGATCAGCATCCCTGTTAGCTTCATCCAAGACCTGGAATACACAAAACTTGACATCTTTACACTTGGAATAAAATGACAACATGCTATTGCCTCTCAGCCATAGCCCAAGACACATCACTTGACCTTCAGGTCATTGATCTCCCTGGCACACAGGAAGGAGATGCTTTCCAAAGAGATAAAGTGTTTTCCGATTCTTCCCTGTCAGTAGGACTTCAGAGAACCTCTCCACATGGTGGAGATACCTCTGCATCTCACCCCAGATTTACCTCTACACTTGACACCACTACATCCTGGGCTTATTCCTCATCTCTGCACACAGCTGCTGGACTCTGGGGCCTTCCTGCTGTGCCCTGCAAGGGAAGGGGCAGCAAACAAAGGAGAATTCATCTCCCCAGCTCCACCACCTGACTGCTCCACTGCTCCAGCTCCACCAGTTAATGATTACATGATGTAATGGCCTCAATGGCAGTGAGCCAGTTGCAGTGACTGGCAGATCCTTCCCCACTCTGGCTCCAGATTTCACCCCTAAGGGTGAAGGCTGGATTGATGAGCACAGCCAAGCCCTGCTGTGTGCTGCTGGGACCACTCACTCCAGTAAATGAGCTAGGATCAACAGGAAAGCCAAGCTTATCATCAGGTAAGAGCTCATCTCTCCCAGGGCCTCAGATCCAGCTAGGGACACATCATCGCTTCACCAGATTCTTGCAAGAGCACAGTGCACACACAGGTCACCTGTCCCAAAACCAGAGTCATCTCTCTCTGTCCTGACACGCAAGCTGTTTTGGATCACCTGCCCTTGCTCCCCTACTTTAATTCAAGTCCTTCCTGGTATGCTCAGGGTGCAGAAAAGCACTGAAATCAACCCTTTGCCATCCCCCTTGATACTGGACAATAAACCTCCTTATTTTTCCATCAAATCTTCTCTGCTCAGCTCCTGGCCTCAACTCACACCTAGGCCACAGCTCTCCCCAAATGGCCAGCAGTGGCAGCAGATGCTCATCACCCCAGGCAAGGCAATGAGCCTTCTGCCCATCCTCACCTTGCGTGCCTGCTCCTGCAGGTACCGGATCTGCTCAGCGATGACTGTCAGCTTGCTGCAGGCGTTTGCTCGCACAAAGTCATCGGCCTGGGAGAGAAAATCAGGGCTGGTCAGGACAGGAAGAACCGCAGCCCTCTAGACTGGGCTGAGCCAGCTACAGTCGAGCTCAAGGCATCAACAGAGCTGGGGAGTGCGGGAGCAAGGACCAGGAGCTGTCTGGATAGGCTGAGGGGCAGTGAGGGGGAGCAGCAGGACATACTGGGAGGCACTGGGTTGGACTGGTAGTGGGATGCACCGGGCAGTAGGACATACACTAAGCATTCGGGTGAACTGAGAAGCTCTGGGGGACATCACTGGAGTACAGGATGTGCTATGAGGCACGGGGGAGCAGTGTTACATAGTGGAGGGCACTGGGAGGACCAGTTGGACATATAAGGAAAAACTGGGGTGGACTAAAAGGCAGGGAATCACTGAAGCAGTCACAGGATCTAGGATGGACTGGGAGTGTGGGAGTGGGAGGCATCTGTAAACGCTGCTGTGAACTAAAGATAGTGGGACTTACTGGGATGCAGCAGTGCTTACTGGGGTGGGACTTCAGTGGGATGCTCTAGGAGTCACTATGGGGCAGCACAGTGGGAAGCACTGAAATGCAATGGAAGGTTCTGGAGACACCAACAGTGTGGGGAGTATCGGGAAGATACTGGCCCAGTGAAATACTGGGAGGGGACAGTGGGAGATGGTGGGAAACATCACAAGACACACCAGGAGGCCGCCGCGGCCACCGGAGAGCAGCGGGACGTTCTGGTAGGCACCAAGGCCGCCGCCGGTCCCGGAGACAGCCGGGAGGCAGCGCGCCAGCGAGCCCAGCCCTGCCCCGGC